ACAGCCCAGTACACCAACACAGCAGTCCAGTACACCAACACTGTACACCAATACAGCCCAGAACACTAACACTGTACACCAATACAGCACAGAACACCAACACTGTACACCAATACAGCACAGAACACCAACACTGCAGTCCAATACAGCCCAGTACACCAACACTGCAGTCCAATACAGCCCAGTACACCAACACTGTACACCAATACAGCCCAGTACACTAACATGGCACACTGATACAGCACAGTACACTAACACAGTACACCAACACTGTAAACAAATACAGCCCAGTACACCAACACAGCAGTCCAGTACACTAACACTGTACACCAATACAGAACAGAACACTATCAATCTGGTCCAGTACACTAACACTGTACACCAATACAGCCCAGAACACTAACACTGCAGTCCAATACAGCCCAGTACACCAACACTGTACACCAATACAGCCCAGTACACTAACATGGCACACTGATACAGCACAGTAAACTAACACAGTACACCAACACTGTAAACAAATACAGCCCAGTACACCAACACAGCAGTCCAGTACACTAACACTGTACACCAATACAGCCCAGAACACTAACACTGCAGTCCAGTACACTAACATGGCACACTGATACAGCCCAGTACACTAACACCGTACACCGATACAGCCCAGTACACCAACACAGAACAGAACACTAACACTACAGTACACTAATACAGTCCAGTCCATTAACACTACAGTACACTAATACAGTCAAATCCATTAACACTGCAATCCAGAATATTAACACTGTACACTAATACAGTACAGAACATTAACGCTGCAGTACATTAATACAGTCGAGAGAGACAATCCAGACACACTGACAGGCTCTAGAGACAGACAGGTGACGGAGAGAGACAGACAGACACACTGACAGGCTCTAGAGACAGATAATTTAGAGATTCCAGGACAGTCGCGATGATGGGGAGAAGCAGAGGGCGGACTCGGAGAGATGAGAGACGGGGACAGACGGACAGACGGTCCAGACAGAACCGGAACAGCAGCACCGGACGCGTCTGTACAAACACGCCTCACAGCAGCCTCGAAAAATCATTCTACACGACACCCCCCAATTTCAA